GGGAGTGAGCAAGTGGCTGTGCGGTGTTTAGTTCCTGGCTACATGACAACTTCCACTGGTGAAATATAAGAAAGCAATGTGCTGAGATTGAACAGCCACACTCTTGCTCGTTTACAGCAGCAGTGGACATAATGACCAAAAGTTATAACCAAAACACACATAGAAATGGCCAACCATAGCAGCAGAGCCCAGTTAAATGACATTCATTAAAGATATAACAGCATTTAAGTTAAATTATTTCAGATGTGGAATTTCATTCACATTCACAATTTGCACAGACTGCCCTTAATATCCATCAAGTCTAACGAGCAGTTTTCTAACACAAATTATTCTAAACTGACCAAAGCATTTATCGTAACAGCAATAATGAAAGATGCATGAACTCACCATAGGACTGTGTTTTTTCCCTCATCTTAGCTGGTAGAATATTTGCTTCCATGGGATACCCAGGCAACTGATCTGAATCAGCAATAGTAAACCTTCGCCTTCGACTCTCCTGGTCCAGAAAAGAATTGGGAGACTCAGCGCCCTTGGACCCAGGTAGTGGCTGACTGGGTTTTTTTCCTCCTCCGTATACAAAACTCCCCTTTTCATCTCTGAAAGGACATTTCACTTCAGTTAGTAGCTTAAAAGAGTTTCACGCTACAGACATGAGTAGGTTTGAAAGATACTTCTAGCACCAGTCATGCTTCTGACAACTGGCATTGTGCTGCAAACAAGCTGGAAAAAAAAAAGGCAGGTGATGGAAGACTTCATTATAAACATATTTACGAAGAAGAACAGAAAGCTACCCCCCTCATGCTAATTCACTTTTAATGAGCCAGTAATTTAACACACAGAGAAGTTTAGAGGTACCACCCCTGAAAAAGCTTTTGACAAATGAGACCTTTCTGCCCTGAGGGTATCAAAGCTCCCGATTCACTGCCTGTTCAGAACACAGTTGTGACAGAGGAGTGCATACATAGATTTATCCATCTCCGTGTAATGGCACATCTGTCTGAGGGACTATGCTTTTCAGTCGTTGTTAGAATCCAATAACTGCCACTGAATATTCATCACCTTCTTTCTCCAATCAAAAGTGAGACCCCCTTGAGAGTTTCAGTAATAAATTCATAGTGTATATACATATGATTTTGAGTAATTCCTGCAGGAACTCCCTTCCCAGAGCAACCCCTCATTCCAAAGGCCAGGAACAGCCATTTTTAGAACCAGTCCTTGTGAGTACTTTTGGAAGAAAAGCTACCCTCCAAGTTAAGATTTGCCTGCGTTTTTTACCGCTTCTCTGTACATGTTACAATCTTATTGCTTGAAGCAACCACCAGCCAAGTCAGGCATAAAAATACACAGCAGACTGCCTAAACACATATATACCCCAGTATTCAAAACAGCCCCCTGGCCAGCGCATACCACTTTTTCCAGCTCTCCATCAAGAACAATGCTAGAGCTCAATGAATGGGAGGGAGCTATTTATGGAGATACAGGGACCAAAAATTGCACAGAAGTTTTACAACACAACCAGAAGTGTTACACCACAACCGTATGTACGCAGAGAGCTCTCCTACAACACCACCATGTGGAGACTGTGCCGTGGGGAAGGAAACCAGCCACTGCTCTCTGCCTCCCCAGTGTGGACCAGAGAAGATCCATGCCAGGAAGGGAAGAGAACAGGATGATGAAGGGGGAAAAAAGAAATGACCACACAAATGCACCACAGTTTCAAGAGAAGAGCAAAACACGCAGAGGTGAATTTAACCAGCCACAGAGAAGGCAAAAGAACTGCCCTTCCTCCTTTTCCTGGTTGCCACAGCTTCCCACATATGCTTTCTTTAAAAGTCAAAGTCAAGAAGCCTTCTCCTTTTCCACACATCATCCAGGACAAGTTTTACAGCTCACATTGCTACTTCCTTCTTTATCAACAGGGATTCAGGTCTAAAGGCATCTGAAGCTAGATATAATTGTGACTCTTTAGGAAGATAAACAAACTGAGCACATGCACGTAATTCACCAATGTGCTTGAAATGTAACGATTTAAAGAAAAGACCCAGGCATTCTAAACTCAGCTGCTAAATCTATATGCTTGTTTTTATGCCAAGAGATGTTTGGGTTTGGTTTTTTTTTTGGGGGGGGGGGTGTTGGTTTTTTTTTTTTTAGAACTGAGCATGCATAAACATGAAAAACAGGGAGAGAGCAGGTCAAGGTGGGTCCAACATCAGTAAAGAGACCCTACCTTGGAGAAACCCTCTCCCCTGGCCATAGTACTGCCCCAAAGACTGCAGTAATACAATTTCTGTCTCTGTATCTCAAGCCTTACGTGACAGGAGGCAAGCTCTCCTCGCATATGAGTCCTGCAGCAAAAGGTCAGAGTTTCTGTCTGGGCTGTCTATGTATAACCTAAAGTGTCAGGGCAGGCCAGGAAGCATGCCTTGCCTGAAAACTCTCTTGTCCATCACCTTCCCAGGTCAGCTGGCAGGGTTCTGACATGAGTCAACATGGACTTGAGAACAAACAAAAGCTAGCCATACCATATGCCCACCCCACCCTACCCCCCTGCCTTTTGTGTACACAGGTCTGCATTTTTATAGCTTACACCACAGGATAAAAAAAAAAAAAAAAGTTGAATGAATTGACTCTCCCTTCCCTTCAGTAGGAACATTCCTGTTCTATACAACTTGCAAGTTTAACAATTTAAAACAAGTTCTTTTCTATCCTAACTCCCACAACAGTTACTTAACTTGCTAAAAAAACAAACAGACAAACATAAAAAAACTCCAAAAAACGACCCCAAACAAAACAGTGGAAGAAGTTACAGACAAAAATGACTTCCTGCTATGTGCAGTCGGATTTAAACAAAATCAAAAACATAACCCCACAACAAAATGAGGGATGACATCCGTTCATGTTTTGGGAACAACTCTGATTTATGTGGCACACCATAATCTTCTAATAATAAAATCTATTATGATCTGGTAGTTTACGCATTTAAGCATAAGCTTAAGCAATGCTATGCATTTAAGCAACCAGAAGAAAGTCTGTGAGATCTGCTATTTCCTCAAGCTAATCTTCACAGAGCTCTAACAGCAAGCCAGCTCAGAAACAAATGTAATAAAGGAATTTTTTGTTCAGTAGTGCATGTTTATTTGCATACCGAGGAGAATATGGAACAGCTGGCGGAGGTGGTATGTACAGATCCAAAATGGCTGGCTTCTCTTTTTTCAGTGAGGTATCCATGGTGCTTTCTGGCGACTGGGTCGAAGTTGGCGGAGGACTGGTCTGAAATGTTAGACAGCTATCAAACATCTGAGCATTGATTTATCATTCACAAAAAGATAATTCAATAATCAATAGTACCATTTCATCCCCTATTGAACTACTATATCTATGCTTAATAAACACATTAAAAACTCTCAGCATTTACATTTTCCTCCACCCCCAGTTTTGGCTAGCTTTCCAGTCCCTCCTACAGAAATCCTATCACAGGTAATGCATTGCTCAAGAATATATTTTGCTCTTTCCAGTTCTATTTCTCCTGCAAATTCCATAGACAGAAAAAGCAGCAGAGACAAAACCCCTTCTTTGGTTTTTAGATCCATTAAAAGAATGCAATTTGTTAAATACAGATATGATCTGCAACACTTACAAAGCCAGCTCATGCTACCCTTATTCCACACAGTCCAATAACTGGGGCACGGGCAGGAATATGGTAAAGTTCACCACAAATTGCATCAAGGGATATAATTAGGGTAAGGGAAGCAAAGGAAAAATAGATTTGGTTTTGCTCCTCTGAGCAAGTTTGCCATTTTGCTCTTTGTGGCTCTCTTCTATGTCCCCAGCATCTTGCCAGGCTCCTGTCTGCCTCTAGGAGAGCAAAGGCTTGAAGGACCCTTTCACGTTTGTCAGGCAAGAGGACTGCACTCTCCCCTTTTTGTCAAGGACCTGCCCAGGCTTTCACTCCGGCCACTCAGTTAATGGTACCCCTGCACAAGCATCTGCCTTTGACCAGTCAGTACGTTGGAGCCCAGAACTGTCAACAGGCTTCTCCAATCACTTATTCCCCCAAGGAAACGCTGCTTGGCACAGCCTATATCCCAGCCCACCTCAGCTCTTCACACTGGTGACATAGTCGTTGCTTTGGGTAACCCCGGAAAACTCACAGGGTGGTGGTTTTTTCCTTTGGCTCTGATTAAATGACAGACACGATGCCACAAAAACAAGACACAGGCATTGGTGAAAGGAAGGATGAGAAAGGAGTCAAGTGCACATCTTCTACCTAGTTTGAGAGAAGTCTGCCTGTATCAAGACTTGCAATAGCCACTGGCATTTCACAGGTTCATAAGTCATCCTCACAGCTGTAGGGAGACCTGTATCAGAACAGGAGTAGGAATGGGAACTCTCCCTGGTTTTCTTTATTTCAGGTAATCAGTTTAGATTCAATTAGGTTACTTCCTCCTGCAAGCATTAAGCCCTAAGCTTCTTAATACAACAAGCTATTCCTCAACATGGTTATTTAAGAGTTATTAACATCACTTTCTCTGCCTGCTCATTACCCAATCTGTGAACTGCCCAACAACCAAATCTTATTTAAACAAGTAGTTTAAATAACTTCTTGAAAAACATTCACTTTCCCACCCTTCACCAGACTAAAAAGAGGACAAATACATGGAATAACCTAAGTTATTTCAGCAAAAATGTATTACTCTGCTAAACAGAGGAAGCATTTATTACTCCACGCTGATGAATTCCATACGTATCAGCAGTTTCAGCAATTTTGCCTCAGATAAGTTCTCCCAGTGGCACACAGACTGATTAAAATGCTCAACACACCTAGTCCCTCTGTGTATCAAGAGCGCATTTATCTGGGAGGGGAACGAGAGAGGGGAACGAGAGAGGGGAACGAGAGAGGGGAACGAGAGAGGGGAACGAGAGAGGGGAACGAGAGAGGGGAACGAGAGAGGGGAACGAGAGAGGAAAGGCAAGAACATTTTCCCTTTTACCTAGGAACCAGAGGAGGACAGCCATTTCACCTAACCTTCCTTGACCTGTACTTAAATATGAGTACCTGGAAGCATTTCTGGTATGTCTCTTTTTCAAGTTGCAACTAAGGCATTCCCATCCCAACATTACAGTGAAGCTGGCAGCTTCTCACCTGCACCAAGGGCGGTTTCCAGCGCAGGTTCTTTAGCGGAGCAGGAGTGAAGTGGAAAGAGCCGGTAGGACGTTTCTTAAGCAGCAGCTTAACTCCAGCAGGATTCTCTCGCAACTTTGCCACCAGATTTTTTAGTTGCCATCCAACCTGGAAAAGAATAAAGACATCTTTTATTCAGTATTGCTTTTCTGAAAGTGAACAAACAAGAAAAACCCAAATCCCCCACGTCAAACTGTCTGTTTTAACATGAACCTAAAGAGAGAAAAGAGATCCAAAAAAGCCAGAATTAAGAATTGGAAAGCTCCTTTTTTATAAGGTTCTTCTTTGTTTTGTTTCAAAGAAAGATGTCTACTTAAGCTGTAAATTAAATACTGAGATATTAAGCAATGCTCTTTATACCTCAGCTCCAGTCCTAGAAGGATGCATGGATGTGCTCAAACTGAGTAACACAGGGATTCACAGTGAACTACTTTTGTCATGTTTCTTTCTAATATTGAAAGGCATTGCTTACCTGCACTAAGCAAAAATGTAATCATTTTATCTAAGTTCCCAGATGCAAACAATTTGACAATACTTTGGGTTTTTTTAAAGCTGTTTTTATCTGCATTTCAGTAGATTGTAACAATGCATTTTAAAACAGGCCTTAAATACAATATGAAGTATTTTAATATGATTCATACAGCATTTAAACATGAAATATTGCATATTTATTTTATCAAAATACTGCAAAGAATAAAATTTGTCTTGAAAACAAAATGTTAAAAAGCCTCAAAAATTTCAACAGAAAAACACCAGAACTGCCTCCTGACCCCATCCATTCAGAACCTGTGGGGAGAGAGCTTTGCAGAGCAAGCATAAGAGAAAGTTGGTAAGGCTGTTTGTTACTAACCACAGTTTGCCGATTAACCTGGATCACTTCATCACCAGCATGAATCTTCTGAGATCGATCAGCAGGGGACTACAAAGAGGAAAACAAGAGGCATGTGCTTCAGCAGGCTTTCTTCCCTCTCATAACAACCCCCACCAAGCTAAGTCAAAGGCTGCATCTATAATGAAGAGCACTGCTGAAAATTTTCGCACAGCTAGATCACACATTACATCTGTTGATGTCTTGAGAAATGCAAACGAATTCAACTTTTTTATACTGGAGGAACTACAGGGAAAGGGAGAAGGCATAGCCTATATCTGTCACAGGCCAAATTGTACTTAAGTCATGGGATGGTCTCCACTGTCCTTTTGCCTCCAGTTTGCACTGTAGTTTCAGACAGCAGCAGGAGAGGACTGAAGAGAAGACTATCTTAAAGACTATCACAGCAACTATCTTAAACTTAGCTTTCAAATAAATGTATACTGATTTAAAAAAAAACAAACACTAAGATTTTTAATGTACAGAATAAAGGACCAAATACCCTCCAACCCACAAAATAAATCCATTGCACTTTCCCTTTTTGTTTCCTAATGTAAATAAGAGCTACCAACTTCCATGTGAAATTCCCTGCCTGCATCATTAAGGTCAACAGATAAAAATATACGCTTGCAAACATCAAGTGTATGTAGACAGGTATTTTTCAAATACCTATCTAATAATAATACACCTTAAAACACAACTTTCTTGGAACATAAACCAAGCTCTGGGGAACCATTAGCTAGGAACAGCTAAATGTGTCAATATTTATTTAGATTTATCTGCGGCTGGTGCCATGCACCAGCTAACGCTGCAGTTATTAAAAATGGTCTCACTGCTGTAACACACCAACTCTGACCAGCCTTGACAACACCCAAAGAGCACAGGCATACTACCTTGGTATGTTGTACCCCGGTCACGGGACAACTTCTCCTCCCATTCCCCCCACCCCATGAGTAACCACCTGGCAGCAGGCCAGCTCCTCCTAGTGACTCCAGAACTAAGCACTTGGATTAAGGGCTCCCTTCTCCTCGTCATCCCACCTTCAGAGCTCAAGTAACTTTTTTATTAGAAAGAACTGTAGGAATAAACAGTGCAACAAGGAAAGAAAACATGGGGGAATTTGTGGGAGGCTCCAGCTATCATGAGTAACCCCATTTCTTTATTGTCTTCTTGCTTCCTCTGAGAGGAAATGCCTCCGTGGAAGGCTGCATATATATGAGTCAACCAAGATCACGAAAAAATGCTGGGCCAAAGTCATGTTTGTGAAAAACAAAGCTCGTTTCAAGCTGTCCTTTGGGCGATCAACAGCCCGTCTCAGGGAGGGTGGGGGACCCTTGCACAGAGGACTCCTACAACAAGTGCCAGCTATCGCATTGTGAGAACAGAGGAAAGAGCAAAGTTTAGATCTAGGCCAACGTGACACAGGAAGTCACAAGTAAGACGGCACAACTTGGGAATCCTCTTGGCTGACTGGTATCAAATGCAGGGACTTCCCCAGTCCTTCCAATGCACAGTACTGTTAATTTTGGGGTGCAATTCCACTGCATTCCAATACACCAGCTTCTGGGGATAGCTACTAAAATACCATTCCAAACCTAGGAAGAAAATTGAGCTAAGACTCAGCCTGGGTCATCTAAATGATGACATCAGTTGTTTGCAGATCTCTCAGTCACTTGTCAAGTTTTGTTGTTCCAAAGGAAAGAGCTTCCCCAAAGGAAGAACCAGTGTTCATAAAAAAGCAGATGTTTAGTCAACACTCAAAGCTATAGAAGCAATACAGCCCCGCTCCTGGACTCCAAAATGAGACCTATATGCACAGGCAGTTTGTCGGCAGTCAACATTACATCCTTTCACATTTATTGGATATTGAAATTGCTGTCAAAGTGGACTTGGTCTCTGTTGCAGATCCTATACAGAGTTATGCCAGGGCAATAGTACAAAAGCTATAAGAGCTTTCAGTTTTCACTCTAGACTGCAAGCACAGATTTCCACCCACTCCTCCCTGGCCCTTGGACTTGGCAGGGGTACAACTAGAACCACTGGTTCTTTCCTATTCACAAAAAAAAAAAAAAAAAAAAAAACAAGTTTTTTTCTTATCAAAAAAAAAAAAAAAAAAAAAGCCAAGTTCCTCTGCTCTTTTTTCTTTCAGCCACTGCTCCCATAGAGCAGCATGTCTGACAATACCACAGCATCACCTGCCAGCCTCAGCTGCTGGCCAGAGGTCCACTGCAATGACTGCCCAGAAGCCTTTAGTAAGTCTCAGCTACAGAGAACTCACGGTGTAAGAATAAACAAGCAACCGTCCGCAGCAAAAAATACAGTTGCCTATCATGCCGACATTTCCTTCCAGCAGACCGCTCTTAAAAGTCTTACTTTTTTGTAGTCTTTTTACTGTACAAGGTAATTTTGCCACTGGACAGCTCATTAATTTCATTACTCATTACTGAATTTAGCACACTACCACCTAAATGTTCCCATTAGGGAAGATTGCCTTTGCCAGCAGAGAGCAAATACGTTCAAGACTTTGCTAAGCAAGATACCATAAGCGCTCAGAACAGCAGATACAGTAACTTATTAAAGCAATTATTTTAATGCCAAGCGTTTGAACTAACTCATGTACTTGCAGAAACTGGTTTAATTAGACTAACAGTGAAACATGCAGACACAAAATATTTACAAATTGTGGATAAACAAATGATGCATCACACAGTATTTAAAGCAGTAATATTATGAAAGTCATATGTAAAACAGGAAAAAGTAGTAAAAAAGTCAAACTAACTCAATCACAGCTACTGTCAGATAGCCTGAGTTAATCTACATTTACTTCACTTACGTTTTCTGTAGTTCCCGTAATTACATGTAATCCATCATAAGTTGATTTGATGTACATTCCCTAAATGTAAGTAGAAAATGAAAAACAAGTTTGAAGGTAAAAAAACCGCATAACTTATCTGATTAAACAACTGTTGGCAACAGACTCAAAACATTATTAAAAACACTTAACAATTCACAAATTTTCCCTAGAAAAGTGTGTGGTCTAATATTACAACATTCTAAACCTCTTCACAGATCACTGTAATTAATTATAATATTTATAATGACTTAAAAAAACTAATATATGGAATGCAATTTAGAAACACTGTCTGGTTGGTATATCAAACACTGCTGGTTTTGCTGCCTTGTCGGTCTTTGGCCTTGAACAAAACTTTATTTCCTTACTGCCCTGTCTGCACTAGAGAATTACAGGTTTTACTAGATGGCCACCAGCTCTCTCCATACAAAGCACACTTACAGAGGTAGGCTACAAATATGGCCTACATGTTCTTTTACAATTTCTCTTGGCAAGTCAATACACAGACTGCCTTGTAACCACAATGCTGACATAAGCAATAAAAGCTCCGGCAGAGCTAAGTATTTGTGGCTGTATATGTTAATGCTGAGTGCAAATGCAAGGACAAACACAGGTGAAATGGGTGTTGACCATAGGAACACCAAATTAAAAATCACCAACAGGCTATTAACTGATAATTGCATAGGTGACCAGTACATTGGTTTCATCATTTATGAACAAATACATCTCTACTTTTCCTCGTACGTCTGTTGTTAGTAGTACTCACGCTGAGCTGTACAGAACTGGATGTTATTCAGGAGTCATAGGCAGCTTATCTGCCCGAAGTTACCACACTTGCTTAGACATACAAGGAAAAATACAAGATTTTTTTGCCCCTTCCTTTCTAGCCAATTCCCTTTCCTGTTTGCCTGTCGGTATCCAATTGTGTGCACCTACCTCGTCGTTTCTTACTTAGTCCAAGCTAGGCTGACTCTGCTTCATTGTAGCTTGTGCATTAACAAAGAGGTCCCCATAAATTCAAGAATGCATGACTGATTCAGTCAAATCCAGTGGCCTAGGTAAAACTACATAATACAATAAGACTGTAAAGCTTCCTCTAACAATGTTCATCTCTTCTGCCTTCAGGGCCGGGGGTTGGGTACAAATGCACTTAAGAACTTTAATTCCCTCCAACTCATTCTAACATGTCTGTTCCCCAGCCAGAAAATCCACCAAGATTTCAAACTCAGTTTCTTATAACCAGCACTCAGCTAAGCAGCATCCACTGAACGAACTAGATTCAGTAATGTTACACAGCCACTGAACATTTAAAAGGATTTCTTATACTCCTGCTAACAGCAAACCTCAAAAATCCTCATATTCTTCACAATCTTGCTATAAACACACGTAAAAATGTGTCTTTCAAAACCACAAACACCATTTCTCATCACCTTGATAAATGCCCTCCTGCCCCATCCCCAGAAAACAGCTACTTAAGATAACCTGCAAAAATAAAATGACTGATTTCACAAGCATCTGTAAATTCCCCAATATCCTGATTAAGACACAAATCTGCAATACTTCACCATCAAAAACTATATTTGGGATCAAACCCATTAACATGCATACCCATCTCTGGCAGCCACTCCAGCACACCACCTGACAAGTAACTTTCAGAGTTCTTCCCCATGCCTCTTTCTGTTCCCTATAGGATATTAATGGTTTTGAAATATCTTGCTATACACACACAGGCAGTGGCACACAAGACTACCTATTAAACACTGGGGACACCAGGACACTCCAGAATCGGTTCTTACCAGGCCTTCCCCAGGTTTAATGTTGGTTAAATGAACCTCCTCCAGACACGCACACTGGCTCATCAATGGATCTGTAGTTGATCGGATGGCTTTATCACAAATGCCATTTAAAGTCTTGGCCTACAATGAGAACATACAAAAAACAGTTACAAGATTTCTCTCCTGGCTTCTTCTTCTTTCAGTTTTCAAAAACAGAAAGGAAATGAGTTCTAAACCTTGGTCCACTAATAATGCATAGTTAAGAATCACCAAAATAGAAGATTCATTTGTACAGATCTATTCTACAGCACGTTTATCTTCTTACTGGAACCTAGTACAAACAACCAGTTTCCACTAGTACCACCTCATCACCGCTAAGAGATCCCAACATATCCTCTGTTTAAAACAATAAACACACAAAACACAGCAAAAAATATTGGGTTTGGGGTTTCTTTGCTACAAACAAAATATAACCCGTTAAAATATTGAAACATTTTGATGATTCCTTGCGGGAACAATTGACAGTTTTTCATATTGTTCGTTATTTCTGCTATGAGAATAAAATTGGCCATGTGTCAGAAAAAGCGAGGTGCTGGCCACTGACTTACCTGCACAAAGCTTTACAGTATAAGGTAGGACATCTAGCACTTAGGCATTTCAGCGTAACTTCTCTCCACTGTGCCTCTAAGCTGACCTCTTCTGGAATGCTTACACAGGCAAGGTTCATATTTCCTTTTGACCAAAACATAACTGATCCTAAGCCAACATTATAACTAAAGGCGAATTCTGACCTTGCGTGTGTGTCAGTAAAGTCAGAGGCAGAACGGCTTTGTCTTGTAGAACTTTTAACTAGCAGAATGGCTAATTAATCAGGAAAAAAAAAAAAAAATCATAATCCAAAAATCTGTGCCATCCCTACACTCACATATTTCATTAATGCCCCACAGCGTGTTTTGGGTCTTGATGTTAGCTGAAAAAATGCTGAAATTCAAAGTAGGTTACAAAAGCTTAAAGGAGAGGGGAGGGAGGATTAGTACATAGTACAGTAGTTAGTTATACACAATTTGGGAAACAGCAAGGTAAGCCACCTTTCACAAGGGGCTTGAATCCTTCAGTAAAAGTAGACATACATAATTACAGGATGGGGGGGGAGCTATCTTGTAGGAAGACATTGGTTTGGATTACAATGGTCCCTGAAAACAATACTTCCAACGTTTGTTGTTTTATTTTACATCAGATTTATAGAGCAGCAATAAAATAAATCAAAACAATGCTTAAGTGTGAATGCGAGGAACTGCTCAAACAAGGGAACTCCAAACAACAATACCTACTTCCAGAGTGGGTGTGCACAAATGGAAAAAGAAAGACGCAAAAAACTCCCTTTTACGTGGTCTCATTATTTATGGACAAAATTATTTTTAGTTATTGTGCTACTAAATTCCTAAGCATCTATGAGCTAGCGGAAGGCCTTATCAAAGAGCGCAGCCTGGTTCATGTCAAAAGCAGGAAGCGATGATTAACTGTTACAAAATATAAAAAGCATTCCATTACGCTCCTCGTTTGGTCACAAGGCTGCTTCAAACACCACTGAAAACTCAAGCTAAAGTACAAAAAGAGGCAGAACTTCAGTTCTGTGGCAGCACAGTTCTTTTACATGAAGAAGCTTAATAAGGCATAGTGTCTGCTTATTAAGGCATTAAATGCACATTATAGGCATAATTGGTTTATATAGCTTACAATCATTCTACACTACTACCCCTCCCTTGAAAATTTGATGTCTAAATTCTCTTGAAAAAATAGCTGTGCAATGAAACTTTAAGGAATACTTGACTCCGTGCTATTACACACATACTACCCGTCTGTTCAAATTTCATTGATTTCCTCTACAGTAAAGAGTATTCATAAAACGGCCCAGAACAATGTTTACTTGCATGATATGCTTGTATGTATGGGATTGGAAAGCTGTTGTCAGTACAGCCAGTGTAGAAGCCACTGAAATAAATGTGAATGCAGGCAGCCGAGTTTCAACAGAAACATGTACTTACTACAGTCTGGACTTTATCTTCCATGTCAGCCACAGTGCAGTCCTAAAAACAAAACAAGACCAAAAGCCCCACGTTAACTAATAAACATGTAAACATATCATCTCTGAAAACTCTGCAAAACTGCCACTTTAACCTTGAACTGAAATACAGTTATTCATGCTGCAGGGATTAATCAGATTAGTTTCACCCAGTAGGGCTCAAATGTACTGTTAAACAACTATTTTCTGGCCCTGGTAGAAAGCAATAATAAACCTTGAAAACTAAGAGAACATGGGATTCAATTACAGCAGCAGACTATTCCAGAAAAGCAGAACCCTGCACAATAAAACTAGACTCTCAGAAGGCCGGGCACACGAGCTTGCCTTACGCTGATAAACCCCTACTCAGGCGCTCCTCTGTCCCAGGCATCAAAATGGATCTAAAACATATTGTTAAAAAAAGCATAAAAAATTATTTTTAAAAATATGCTATCAATGACATTCCTGAGGGCCAGAGGACTGCACACAAAGCATCATTTACACAGCCCAGGTACAAAAGTCTTTGAACTGAAACAAGTTCATGTAACAGGCTACAGAAGTCGTCATTGTTTTCTGCAAGAACAGCTGAACTAGAGAATGGTATTAGATTCTCAGATTGAAAAGTTAAAAACAGCAAGTAATTAATGAAATAAGATTTACAATATCTATAAGGAGAAAAACCCCAAGCCCCAAGCATTGAAACAAGCTCAAATTCCAAGATATTTGCCACTGACATCTCAACCTGCATAACTACCACACAATGCCCAAGAGATGCATCCAGGAGCTGTGAACTGAAGCTGTTCTATATTTCTGATCATCCTCAACACTTACTCTGTTCCTTCCTAGCTCTATTCTGTGCTTTTAAAGACAAAAGTCCAAAAAAGCATATAGTCCTCCAGATATGGATACACCAAGGATATATGCTCAGCTATGTGAGCTTTTATGTTTTCATAGTAACTCTTTAACACCCTGTTCACTGTTGTGATGACCACCAAGGACTGAGGTCACACTTTTTACAGCCTGTCACCAAAAGCTTCAAGACCCTTCCTGAAAACTACTACCGAATTTAGACTCCATCATTGTGCATCAGCATAATTTTTCTCTGCTCAATGTATCTGCATGAATAAATAGTGAATGTCACCTACCATCATGCAGCCCAGTTGCTCAGTATTGCAAAGTCCTTCTGCTCCTCTTCATTTTTATTTACATTAATTATTATTTTATCCTTAAAGTTTGCCACAAAACTTTAAGAAGCAGTGCAGTAAACTCTGTTCCTTGTATCTATATAGCTGTCATTAAAGTGAACTGGAATATTACTACGTTCCAGTCTTGCCTTATTATTCACCCATTTTTATACATCATTTATGATTACGCAGAGTAATATAGGTTGCATGAGAGCCACACTGCTTTCTTCTCCACTATGAGAACTGACCATTTATTCCTATACTCTATTTCCTAATAAGAAAGAATTCCGATGCCTGAAAACTCATCTAAAGTTTTTTCAACTGTACCTCTCTTTTTCACATGTCAGTGGACTCCTTCAGATCATTCTAACATATCTGCAGTGCCCCAGTACCAAATAGTGTTGATTCACCAACCCCATTCTTTATTATACCTCATATCAAATTGGCAGAGAAGTACTCTGACAGTTTTTAAAAGGCTAGGGTTGTATTTGCCAACTTCCATTCCCCTGCCATCAAAGGCTGATTTAACTGACAGATTAGACACCATTTTTAGTAGTTTTATTAATACAGTTCAGCAATCTCATATCTCAGTTCCTGTAGCACTCTTGGGTGAACACCATCTGCTGCTAGAAACGCTTACTGTTCTGCTTCACAATCTGCAAATCTGTAGCTGTAAATCACTGACTTTCTGCAATTGCACACGCAGCGCCCAAACAAGAAGGGCATTCAGCAGCAAGCCAAACTTGTGTGCCTTTGACACTATCCTTTCACAACGATCCAACTGATGTAACTGGGTGTCATCATAGCTTGACAACTCACAGGATGTTTCTGTCCTTTGATATCATCCCCCCAAAACGGAGAGAGAATCACCCATGTCACAGGACATAGTTCTTCAGAGTTCAAACAATATATGGCCATGGACTAACGGCTATGAGCAAGTTGGGCAGGAGCTGAAGCGTGTACACAGTGCTTCACATCCAAAGCAGTGGCATGCTGTCAGAATGGTTTAGAAGACAGGCAGCATTATTCAGAGCATGAAATTATGTCATTTGCCGAGACTGCCACAGTTGCTACGTGTCCTTTTAGCTATTACCAATATGAGTGCTCATCACATAACTGATAATTGGAAAGTTTTGAATCAAAACACTGGCTAGCGGAATTTGTATCGTAAAGGTGGCAGCTCCTTCCATTACATGCAGCATTTCTCATCTGATGGCCAAAACACTCTGTATGGGACAAGACTAAGAAGTCTGCAAGCATGGATATAATAAGCAACAGAGTCACAGTTTTGTTTAGAACTAGCGCTGATAACTGTTTTTCAACACATTGTTTGGAACTCCAAATGCTGACTATTTCAAAAACTAACCCTATTGCCCTCAAAGCTCAAGAAAACATGAGTAGCCTGTCTTGACTACTGTAGTCGCTTAAGACACAGCCAGCAATAGTAAAATTAGAAATTAAGTGAACAAAAAAACAACCTCAGAAAAATGGATAACTGAAACTGACCTTCACGGACCTTCAAAGTTTCAAGTAGGCTCTCATTTCCACATCTGCCTTCCAATTAGCACTCTGCATACAGCAAACACATTACTTCCCCAAACACCCCCTTCCTTCCCTTTTGGAAAGCAAAGAGGAAAAGAAATCAGCTGACCTTCTGAACAGTAGTAGTGAGATCCAAGCAGAGCTGAATGATTCTGTTCTTCATTGATGAAAAGTCAGCAATACCTGTAAATGGGGTCCTGCAACAAGAGAAAATTCCCCTTAGACTGAAGGGACTGATCTTCTCCCATCCTACCTTATCAGCGAGGAACAGCATGTGAGGGCAAGAGCTGTAACTCTGACATCCACACACGTGTGAGGACACAGTTTTACAATATAAATATTCCTGGCTGCATAGTCCTGCTCTGTCCTTGCACTAAAATTAGTGAATGTCTAGCCCTGTGGTAAGCAAGTTTAGAGAGCAAAACCAGAAGAAACAGTCAATTTTCCAAACTACAGTTCTCTCAGCTGCACTGCTCGAGTCAGATCACACTGCCTCTGTTGTAAAAATCACACCCTTGGGTTTGCCAGTGAGTAGATTTCTAAGTTCCAAGTCTTTGATTACTAAACTCAGACTGGAGAGAAAAAAAAAATTGTCTAAAAGAAGAAAAATGGATTTTCACATTTTACACTCAGAGGTGCAGTGAGGCTCAATCTTAGAAAAGGATCATTATAGGTAGGGCAGCTTTAGAGCCTACAGAGTCTCACCTCAGATCCTCTAGACAGCTGAAGGGGCTAGAAGGGGAGTTCAGAAGCAACCCCAGCAGGTTTGGAAACAGACAGGCCAGCCATCTTGCTGACGGTGAGCTGTGGAAGAAATCTAGGGCGAGTTGCCAGCAACAGGGTGAGAGGAGAGGACCAGGTGAGAGGCACAAGCTGTTAACATCACTGCCCATCGGACACAGAACCGACTCCTTGCTGGAGAGTGGTGATATTGAAGGATGAAAGCTCTCCTTGCTGCCGGTCCCCGTGCAGCTCTGCTCCTAACCTTCCTTCTCAGGAAAGCTGGCAAGGGGCTTGAGAATTTACGTTCATCTGTTATCACGGACAGCATCCCTGCCAGCATCCGACCGGCTCTGTTGCCTGTTTGCTTCCGCTGCAGCTGTCACAAAACAACTCTGGCTCTTGCCAGGAAAAAAAGAATTAAACTAAAAAAAACCAAAAACAAACAGGCAAAGGGAGAGTCTCTCCCACTGCTCAGTTTTCAAATCGCAGAGCTAAGGCCACGATTTCAGCAGAACATTAAAAATTCTTTTAGAAAGGGAGCTGCCAATGACAAGTAATTTTGAAGGTGGGAAGGGGAGAGGAGGAAGTCACACGTATGAGAAACTGACCTGAATGGGAAGACTCCTACTTTTATAAATACCAGTTTGGATGCAATGTTAACAGTTTCACTGGTTTTTAGCACGAGTGGAAGCACAAAAATAGATACCCTAGATTAAATTTGTCCACTAGAGGCCTTCTGGCAACACCAAAAAAAGGGGTGAGTGAGATCAAGATCTTTACACCCAAGCATCTAGAAATTGCCCTACAAGGAGAAGCAGTTCATTATAGCAGCAATAAAAATTTTATTCTTACCTGTCCAACCATGCAAGCAAGGCTTTAGCAGCACCAATAAGCTCTACCACAGAAGTAAGGAATTCATTGGGGGGCTTGCGAGAGGTATTTCCATCATAATTTGAACTTTTCCTACGGCTGCTGATGTAATTTTGCAGATTGTTGGATGATGCTCGCAGCTTGAGAACCAGGTTCTTCATATTGTCTGTTTCAAGGCCATAGTTCTGCAAGGAATATTATTAAGCTTGATAAATCTCCCTATTGAGTCCTTATTTATTATACCACAAGTTACAAGCTCATATGGGATGAAAGGTCTAAGGATTTGCCCAATTTTTTTTCTGTTTTTTTGGCAAAAGTGCCTTCTAAGATTTGTTCTACACTCCAGCCACTTAAGAATACTTCTGTGGGTGCCAAACCCCCTCAGTTAATGAGACTTGAGGACACTTTTAAATCAGAATGGAGTCCCAGTGTCACATCAGATGTCATTTACCTCTAAAACGTAGTTGGAGTAACAGGATTGTGTTGTTTTTCTTTTTGTTAAAGGAAAGCAAATGCTGTTTTTTCTTAAAATGTTTTCTATACTGTGGTACATAAATACTGAAGTAACATTTCATTCACAATTAAAGATAAGTTTAATCTGGCAAGAGGTAAAAACATCAACAGGAAGCAAATGTAATTTCACAGTCAAAAGCTGGAATAAATATTTGGATCACAAGTTTTCAGTAACTGCGCTCCTTGATTACAGCAGTGCAATTTTTTGCAAGTTTGAGGACTGCATTAATGCTATACATAGTAATTAAAACCATTCTTAGACATCTTATTTTTCATTCAACAGCATCTGTATAAAAAAATTTTGAAATTTAAAAAAATAAATCTGTAAGTCCTGCCTGTAACTTCAACTTTATAAATTCAAATACAACGAAACCACGCTCTGTAAGATTAAAACCTAATTATTTTAAGCAACACATTGATCATCTTATTCCAAACATGTCAGAAATGCTATACTATATCTGTTCTGAAGGCAACTCAATTCTGTAATCAAGATTGTCGTCTTTTTGCTGTCAGCATGCAAACGCGTGAATTATGTAGCAACATGTTGCTGAGTATCTTTGCTTTTGAGTTATCCTGCTTTGCAAAACCTCGGTGGGCATCTTCTGAAAGTTAAGTCCCAGGCAATGCTTAGCTCTTTTAGAGTGAAAATTCCTATTTTTCTTAAAAAAAAAAAACAAACAAACAAAAAAAAAAACCACCAAGCAAACATCAAAACAAAAACAAAGCAAAAAAACCCCACCCAAAAATACAAAAAACCCCTGCCTTTCTCTATTCTTTTGCTGCTGCAGATTCTTGCTACCGACCTCCAAGTTCCATAGTTTAGTCAGCTATACTATCCACTCTGTCTCCTTTCCCCCTCAAAAAACTAAAGCAAATCTTAATTCCATTCAATTCCAAGTTTCCAGGGGTTTCCCAATGCCTCCATTCAGGACCACGGCACTACCCAGGCTGGAGGGGAGCTCAGGAGCTCTCAGTCCAGCCTCCTGCTCATGGCAGGCTCAGCTGTGAGCTCAGACCAGCTCCTTCAGGGCTTTATCCAGGCAGGTCTTGAACACCTCCAAGGACAGGGACCGCACAACCTTTCTGGGCACTGTCTGACTGTCCTCAGAGTGAGAAAGTGTTTCCTTAAACCCAGCCTGAACCTCTCGTTTCAACTTCTGCCCAGAGCCCCTCATCCTCCCGCCACGCACTACCATGAACAGCCCAGCTCTGCCATGCTGCCAGCCGTGTTCCCCCCCATGGTAGGTGCTGGGGATCTGCTGTTAGGCCTCCCTGAAGCCACCTCTTCCCCAGGCTGAAGAAGTCCCAGTCCCTCAGCCTCTCCTCACGGGTAAGTACTCCAGCCTTGACCAACCTCATAGCCCTCCACTGAGCTTGCTCTAGTTTGTCCACATCTTTCCTGTACTGGGGGCAGGGGGCACATGCAGACTAATGAGTGCTGAGTAAAGGGCAATAATCACTTCCCTCCCTCTCCTGGCCATGCTCCCATTAATGCAGCCCAGGATGCTGCTGACTTCTTTGCTGCCAGGGCACACTGCTGGCTTGTGGCTCCATTCCCTCCACAGTCAAGCATCCATAAAACAGGCTGGAATATCTGAGATTAAGTCATTTACAAAAGATGAAACAGAACCTTTGCCCCAGAGAAACCCACCAGTGTAAGCAGAGGTTTCAGCTACTCAGCTACCTTTAAAATACCTACCACCTCAAGATCCCAGTGGGTGTAAGTTACACAAGGGCCTTCCTCCTCCCCCTGAGGGCTCTTGGCAAGGAAATAACCTTAGAATGCAGCCAGGAGTAGGGGTTGAGAGGATATATCCAATTAAAAAAATGCCACTGTTGCAACAGCAAAGGATATCCTTAAATTTTCCAAGATCACAGAAAGGGAAAGATTTGGATTACTAAACAATGTTAAAGTACTTGCACACCGTCATGTGTGAGCTTACCACCTTTTAATTTTAACAAAAGAAAACACCAAGAGCATCATTCAGATGTATTTCTTGCAGTTAGTTTTCTCCTTCTCACATGACATTGCATATTAGTCTATTTTTGGAGGACTACATTCTCACCAACAGGTCTGGATGTGGGGTAAGTTCCTGTGACCACAAGAATTTGAAAGTAGCCATGTGCCAGGAATCTCCCCCCTCCTTTAACAGGGGAATTACAGGACACTGACTTCCCTCCTTCCATAAAGGGACAGAAAATACAAAAGAATTTTTCTGTACAGTGGTATAACCACCTAATCACTCCAGTCAGAACTTGAGAGAGTTTTCATATATTTAAGTATCTCCAGGTCTGTCTTTCTGTCATTCAAGTGCAGAAATTGTGACCATCACCTGTGGGTGTCTGCAATTAGAGATGGCCCCAGCATTTAAGAGGACACATGTTGATATACCAGGTCAGATTTTGACTTTGGCCCCAAAACATTCACATACTCCTTATCACACGTCTTTCACCTTATTTATACTGCGGGTCAATCCAGTGTCACTTTTCCAGTTCATCTAGGTTTTAAATAATTCTCTCAAGTAGTTCTCAGTTTTGAGGTGGACTTCAGCAACACAGGTGTTACCTCTGGAGATACAGGAGCTCCAGCTTATGACTGCAACTGCTCTCCCCAACAGCCTATCAAGAGCACATCACAGCCAAGCTCTCCAGTCACTGCACAAAGCTTTCCTATAACTTCCCCCAGAGACTCTATGGAGTGCACCTCAGGTATCTAAACCAGCAGTTTGTGTTCTAGGAAAAGTCCTGGCTAAGCACTATGCCTATCCAGCACAACAGAGAGCACGCAGCTCTTCAGTACAAGCCGCCTAATTCTCCAGCTACGGATCAGCCCTCAGGGATGAACTTCCCCAGAACAAAGGGTCATCACAACCCAAACCACCTCTGCTCCAGGGGCAAGCCAGTCTCCTCACCTGTTTGCTCTAATTCACTGAAAACACTATGCCCCTTCACCAGATATAGCAATGTTTCTATCCAAGCTGACGCTATCTTGACCACCTCACACATAACCACCTATTTCTGCTATTTTTCTGCTCCTTCACTTGCAGTGTCCAGTCTGTTGGGAGGGCTGGTTTGGGGAACTAAACCATTCAAAAAAAATCAATTCCCTTTCTTGCTGTAGTGTGCTCTCAGCTGGTTTAAGCTCCCTGAGGTAGCTCACCCCAGGGTCAGGTGAGTGCAAGCACAAAAGATCACTAATCAGGGGACAGTCGGGGGTGGAGGCAGCAGCTGACTTGGATTAATTTAACTTGTCATGGAACTGTAGCCCCAATTCAGGACAGATAGGAATGTTGATAGCATGGCAGCACACCAAACAGCCTTCACAGTGACACACAGTTGAAGTGCAAAGCTTAGCGGGTTTTTTTGGAATATTTCTACAGGGCTGAGGCTACAATATTTAACAGATTATTATTTAAGCAACCAAAAGGTTTTAGATGCTGCTCATGAACCTAAGAACACGTTACATTTTCCTATCACTCCCGATTTAAAACATCAAAGTTGCTTTCATCAAAACAGAGGCTAAAGCCAGCGGTCAAGAGCACCCTATGTCAAACATTCACAGGTTGTTACTCATTAATCTGGAGAGCCACACACAGGGCTGGAGCGAGAGACAGCACGTGCACGAGACAGCACATGCGCATAAGAGCACGCTCTTTCCAAACTCCATTACATTTAATGAGAAAAAGTACACTGACCAAATAATTGCTCAAGGTCAGGCAGCTAACATAAAATAAAAAAAAAAAGTGTGGCTAACTGAAGCCAAAAGAGCACAGCAGTTGTGTCAGAGCTGACTTGGGCTGATCCAGAGCTCTGCTACTGCCCAGGGGCAGCATCGCCTTCCCCTTCACATCCATGTTCACGTGCCGCAGTGCAATGAGCTGGATCTGCTGGCTGATCCAACTGAAAACCAGCTCTAGGAAAAGAAATGAATAAAAACAACCTGAATGCCTGCTCAAAAGCTGATCCAATCCACTGCACGCCTATATAAATGCTAGAGTTAACACAAGGTACTGTCACAGTCACCCATTCTTGCTCTCTCCCTTTTAACAAAAATGCATCCTAAAAAAATCCTTTGGCATCCCAAATTTCCTAATAAACAGCACTAAATTTGAGACCTCTAGAAAATTGAAATCTTATGAGGTGGTGCATAGATGTGGTGCTTTTGACAAGGATTAGCCACAAAGGGTAAGTCTCTATGTATGCATGTTCTATTTTATATTACGATGTTATATTTTGTTGCACTGCAAATATGCTGGCAGAACATCACTACCAGTGAAATTATCAAAGGCACAATGCTAAAAACTATGTTCTTTTTGGTTTGTGGGTTTGTTTTGAGTTTTTTTTGTTTGGTTCATTGGGCAGTTTTTTTGTTTGTTTGTTTTTTTAGATTGCTTAAAACTAGCATCTCTTCATTCTAACCTCAAGAAAAATCAGCTGCTTTTTTGCTTCCAAACTCTCTCATCACACAGTGTAGGTAAAGATTCAGAAATCTAACCCAAAGAACACATTAGAAGTGAAAATATTTGCATACAGTTTCCTGTTAATGCTTGCATTGTTTTATATTTATTAAGCATAAACAGGCAAATCTACTCATCAGGGAATGATGAGTAAGTATTCAGTTTTCACCACCACTCTAGATGCTTTTTGGCCCAATTATTTGGCTGAGAAAGCTTATTTTCTGGATCCCTGCACCTGCTTTTGTGGTTTTGCATGAGTTTTAAAAGCATATTTATGTATGTTTGTTCCCCCCTCCCCCAAACAGTCAACTAAGAAAGTCTTCCTCCCATCCCTTTGCTCTGCCAAGCAAATATTGTCATCGACAAAAAGATGGAAGCACTCAAGTTGATGTTTTTTTCCCCTCTGGGGAATTCAGTTTCTTTGATATGTCCTCTAAATTCTGTAAGTCAGTCTTCAACACCTGTTCAGAAAAGTCTATTAGACCAGCTCAAGAGCAACAGAAACATGTGCTCACAGGAAACCTTCACTTTTTATCCCTGTCCATACTCTCTCCTGCTACCTCTTCAGCTGCAGCTTTGTCACACATGCAGCCACTGCTATGAGGAGATGAGGGAACACTGCTTCATCACCAAAGCAGCAGAGAAAGATGCATTCATTTCTCTTTCAGCTATACTGGTTCCAGAGTTCATTTATTGCAGCAGCAAATACCATAACTTGCAGACATATTTTCACCTTGGCAGCATAGCTGCCAAAGAGGGCTCTAGCCCTATAAAACCTTTTTTCTTTCTTTACCCAAAAAAAAAAAAAAAAAAAAAAAAAAAAAAAGGTATATTCGGTGTCCCTTCTCAAGCAAAGGACTACCTTCACACTGTATTTTTATGACTGGTCTACTGAGGCTGGAAAAAAGGTCTGTATGGTCAATGCTTGAAAAGAGTTACTGCAGGAGAAAGACGTTCCAAAGACAGCTGCTTCACTGCCTTTAGAGCCGCAAGTGTTCTTGCGGTGTGAGGGAACCAAAGCACCTATCTGAAGGAAGCTCAGCTGGAAAACTGCCAAGGCAAAACTAGATAAAAAGGGAAATTCTCCTTGAGAACTCCAGGACTGGGGAACTATCAAAACCCTCTCTCAGCCCCCACCTCCCCCCCAGCAAGAATGACACTTTCAAAGCCTGATCCCAGGCTCGCCCAGCCAATGCCACATTTCCACAGTGTGAGCTAAAAGCATGGGGGGGGAGGAGGTGTAAGAGAGCGAAAAAAATCCCCAAAATAGTTCCTTTGCTTTTTAATTCAAGGCCCCAAAAGTTAGGGAAATGTCACATATACACACACACACAAAGAAAAACATCCATTAAAGTATATAAATACACAGACCCACTTTCAAAGAACTAATACAGGTGGAACAGGGAAACCTTTATTCTCTCACACAAAAAGAAGAGACAGCAAAATAAAAAAATTGGCTATCACTAGAACTTAAAACACACCATCCCCTCAGGAACAAAATCAACGGTGATTTTATACAACAATCCCAAAAACTCAAGGGAAGGGGCATCAAGAAGGTGACAAAGGGCATACCTAAAACACAGGAATTCTTCCTCCACCTCTTAAAAAGGAATAAGGACATTTCAGCTGCAATATGTGAATTCTGTCTAATGCATTAGCTTGAGCTGCATTTCACAAAGGATTTCCAGAAACAAGTCTGAGGTCAAAAATTTTGTCTACAAAGGAAATTAGAAGGAAATTGTAGGAGATAAAACACAGCTTTAGGTTCTGGCAGTCATCCAGCTTTGTTCATTTTATTCTAATATTTTAAAATAAGTAAGAAGAAAGAAGTGCCTTTGGGGGCTGCCACATCCATTACTTCAGTCAGGACTGTATACAGCACACAGTACATTTACTAACTCGCCAGACCCCTTCACTTGCCCAACAGATTATCCCTTCCCACAACATGAACTGCATTTCAGGCTAATTACGTTCTTCTATTAGATTTTCATGTTAAAAATTTTTGATAGATCAAATACTGAAGAGGAAATAAAACGTTTTTCAAATACAAGAGCAACTCTGGGAAACATTTCAGACTGTATGAAGTGATTTCATTAAAGACACTTCTTTCAGTACAGGCTATCCAATTCGTTCCTGGTTATGGAGTACGAATGATCCCCGTAGCACCTCTCTGCAGCAAATAAAGCACGTATCACACAGGCAATAAAGACTCTCCATTTTAAGAAGAGTATGCTCAGTGCTGCAAGTCTTGCCTAATGAAGGGAAGGCAGGCCAGTGCTGGCCAAAGAATCATCAGGCAGCCTTTCCCACCCTTCTCCCTCATGTAATCATATATACCTCTGGCACTCATTCGCTGCATTACATCAAACACGTCTTCAAGACTGTGTCCAAACTACAGCTTTTAAGCAAAGCCTGCACTAGCAAAACAATCCGAAATATAGTTATTCTTTTCAGAGTGTGTTTGTTTTAAAAGTATTTGCACAGTTATATATCAGGAGTAAGACAGAGGAACAGCTTAAGTTCTGAATCCAATGAGAGTTGAACTCGACTGTAACTGAGTTAGCAAAACATCCCTCATTTCAAGAACATTTTCTTCACTTGGTATGTAGACTACAGAATTTCCCTAAACCCATGTCAACTGATGTGAGGAACAATTAGCAGCTGTCTTTCAATAGTATGTTTTCTATCTTCTATGAGAAATTCACTCTACTCAATAGCAGTTTTAATCACTCTGTTCACTAACAGGAGCCACAAAGTCTAACAATGCTACTCAGACAACTTCTTTCTTTAAAAGTGCAACCAAATGAATTAGCATTGCCTCTTATCAGGAAGAAGTTAGAGAGCTATTAACACAAAGCTTGTGAGGATTAAACAAATGCTTACTGTTTTCTTTTACCGTCATATGTAACGGAAAGCAAGAGATACAGGTATTCTGGTTTTATCAGACTCGCCTTAGTTATTCACCCAAAAGAGCACTTCAAGAAATTCTTTGCGTGTCTGTTCACCACTTAACTAACCAGTGCACACAGGAGATCCACAGCCTCTAGAACCAGTTCCTGGTGTCCAATCCGTGAGATACCCAAGTCTTCAAGGTCCTGGTGAGAAATCTGTAACAGCTGTTCACCATTTATCTTCTCCCGTTCAAATTTATGGACATACTGCTGCAGGCAATCATCCAGGCCTACCAAAACACAAAAAAGAGAGAAGGGGATGTGATTACAGATTTCAGTCTTTTCTTCCCCTTCCCGCCAATTTGAAAAAAAAAAAAAAAAAAAAAAAAAAAAAACACAAAACACCACCACCACCACACAACAAAAACAAACCCTGCAAAAGCAAAAGGCACAATTTGCAAGTTCATACAATATGCAATGCCAAATTATGAAAGAAATTTGCAGAGCAACTGAAGTTGTGCCACAGGGGCATAGCAACAGAGCACATAGGTTATATGGATCCTTGGGTCACCTAAGTCAATGCATGACCCACCTGCTTCTTGTGGATCAAGCTCAGCAGGTAAGAATGTCCCTTTGGTGTCTGCATAGGCAAAGGTATTAGGGGGCATGCATACACTAAGCTATCAGGGTAACCCAAAACGCTGAGGGGCAACCAAAGCAACAACAACAAAAAATAATAACTGACCAAAACAAAGATAAATACAACAAGGCAAGGCAAGAACAAAGATCTTTCCCAAAACCTAGTTAAACAAGCAAACAAACAACAGCACAAAAACCCACAGTTTCCCATCCACTTATATATAAAAGCCCTGAATGAATGATGAGAGGAAAATGGAACAATCAAAGGCAAAGCAATCAAAATGATGTTTGGCTCAAGCCTCATTATTCCCTTGATTTATGAGACCCTGCAGCTTCCTGAATCAGCCATTCCTTCCCCTTGCTAAGGATTAATGACACACACCAGTAAGAAATCTAATTCACTTTTGTATCTATGAAGTATTTTTAAAACAGTTTAGAATATTTTGTCCCAGCAATATCCCCAAAATCCTCACTTTAATTTGTGATTCTGTGATCCTGTTCTCTACAGTATCTTTTCACCAGTGATTACAGAAAGGATTTCTGGTTTTCATTTTGTTTTATTTAACTAAATTTCATGTATTAATCCTGTTTTCTTGTGTATTCTGCTCAATTCCTCTGTTCTTAAAAATCCTGTGAGCAGCAACAATCTGGGGAAAAAATGTGGATGGATGTGTTATTTTAAAAGGTGATGCAGTGCTCTTGATGCCCTGTGCCACTTCAACATATTAGCTAGAGCAAAAGGAACATATCCAATTAGATCTGTTTTGTAGAAATACACCATGTTCACTGAAAATAGTTGACACAAGCAAAAATTCAGATTACACATTAGACATCTCCTTTGTAGCATCCACAATAGCTACATTGTTCGACCATTCAGTTTTTTAAAAAAATTGAACCTTTAACTGTATAAAGGATGTTTATCCACTACGCTGGCTCAAAAGGAAGCCATTGCGATGGACAGGATGTCGAATCCTGGAGATGAGAAACACGAACAGCATCCTGAACTACAAGGAAAGGAGAGCCAGAAGACCAGCACCCAGTTCCACTCATGGGGCCGCAGTAGCAGCCTGGAAAACAAGCACTCCCAGCACACTCTACTGCCAAGAAAACATTCGAGACAAATCGCAAGGGGGGTTCTAGGAGTCACATGAAACATACTCATGTCATAACAGCAGCACGAGCTGCCACTGCTGCTTTGCAGTGTCTGGTCACAGCAGATCTGTAGATTATGGACTCTCAAAGGCACAGGCTTACTTAACACATATCACTTGCCTTTATAATGCTCGCTCAGAAATTAGTAAGGACAGACACCCTAGCACTTAACAGTCACCCCTTTACATGACTCGGGCAAGCTTAATTACTGCAGTACATCAAAATCTGGCTGAACAAGCTTGACTCCTCCACGTGCAGAGCTACTAACATGCACAGCTTGATTTTTAAGCATAATTATGAATGGGAAAACCTGCATGCAAGATGAGCAGAGTCTCCCAGGGCTACAGTTGTTTGGGGTGCACTCTTGTTTCCTCCCATCTGTCTTGGCAAGGCCACATAAATTTTGAAAATCGAGCCCAGTGTTCTCCTTCCCACAGGCACCAAATTCTCCCTTAGGCTATACAAACTCTTTTCCCAGGAAAAATAATAAAAAGATCTGGCCTTCATTGTTTAACAATTTATTTTTTCAAAACAAATACTCAACCGAGGCTGACATACAGTGCACATATTTGGCATTCCCAATTTTTAATGCTGTCTTGCAGACCACTGTTTCCCATCATTTGCCGTTGTAAGCCCATAGTTTCCATTACAAATTACACAAACACCTAAAATAAAACACTTTATTCAGCATGCAACGAAGTTTTTATTTTTTAAGCTTTTTGGATGCAGTGTTGCTTTTGCATACCATCCTTTCTGTGTGTTGACTCAACTTTCTAGATCCTCATTGTATGCTAAAACATGAGCCTCACAAATGTATATATCCCCCCCAAGAAATACAACTATGGCTTTCAGCTTGCCTGTGCTTTTTTTTTTTTTTAATTCATGCTTGCCTCTTCTTAAGGTCTATTACAACTTGAACAGCTACCTTTAAAATATTTTTTTAATAAGAGTCCTTAAAACAAGACTTCTACAATCACACCGTAAGACTATATTTTATAAAATATTATAAAATCACACAAATGTTAATTCAAAACAGCCAACACAGAAGCACAGCCGCTCAGCTAGAAATCTATTTAAGATTAAGTGACCAAAACTATGCAAAGCAGGAAGTGAAGACAGACCCACACACTCATGGCAAGCATTCACTAATGGTTTAAGATAAGCTTACTAACATTAGTGTTGTTATTATTTTTACCAAGAAACATATGGAAAAATCTTAAAACATTTTAATTGAGATTGCAACCACATTTACAGCCTGTTGTTTAATTTTCCATTGTATGAATGAAATGTTTAAACATCGTATGCAAACCAAAAAATTCCTATTTCTCCAAGAGGGAAAGGAGAAGGGAGGAAAAAAGGACTCATAAATCAGTTCAATAAAATAAACTAAATAATATTTAAGTGAAGTTTAAAAAGTCAGCATTCAGAATATTTGTAATCTAGATGAACTGCTCTTTTTTTCCTTCTTCCAAACATCTCAGTTCTTTCCATGTATTTTCTCTGTGAACTTCAGAGCCTCACATAGACTTAGTATCGCCCATTGGCAAAGTCTGGATATTTTTGAGAAACTTAGATGAATTCAAAACTATAAAAAGCAGTCTGCATTACTCAGAAAGACACTTTCTTACATGCTAGGTCATTTTAAACAGTGCAATATTAGCAGGTTCAAGCAAGAAAATAGTTTTCTTTATTTCCAAAAAAAATACAATTAAGACTCTGACATTGGAAAAGATACCTGTATTTATCTCCTTTACCCACTGAAGAGCCCTTCTGAAGTCTACTCTATTTATTTTATGCTCAAAGTGTGTTTAAAAAGCATTTGTCTCAATTGCATGTGAGAAATCTTTGTATTACTCCTTGCACATACATCAAAACCATGCACAAAAGATAACATCCTTCCTACTTACATAATTGTTAGAGAATTAAGGAAGATAGAAATAGCAATTGCAGAATGTCACCCAAGTTTTACAACAACAGTAGCAGTGATTTTTTGGGGGAGGGAGGAAGGGGGAGAGAGAGGAGAAACTAGCCTAGTTAGTGTTATTCGTATTGTGAAAACTCTTCTGACGAAGTGCAGTGTAACTTGAACAAAACTCCCTCCCAAATTTTGGCAGGTGTAGAGATGTGCAATAGATCCTAAGAACTGTCTAGACTTTTCTGTCTAAAATAACCTTCCACCACCATGCAAAGCACCCCAGAAGACATTCAATACCTTGCATTCATGCAAAAACATTAGGACAGGGCTTACACTTACAAATTTGTACTGATACCAATCTCAGTCTGTTACCAAGATTAAGAAAGTTATTTTGAATAAGAATTCAGGGGGAAAAAAAAAACCTTTGAGGGGATTAAGGGGGAGGCTTGGGTCTAAGCCAAAACTATCAGTTTACTATTCAGAGAGAATTAACATTTCTACTGTTGATAGATGTCAGCCATTCAGCAATGACATATCTGACTCCTAAAGTACTGGAGAAGTGTGTTTTGTAAGTAGAGTCATTAAGTAGTTTCATGCTTTTTGCTCAACTTCTGTGCTGGACATTACCAAATAATTTACCTACCATAAAGCAATAAAAACAGTTAGCTAATGTATTACGGCCACGGGTCCAAAACCAGATGACATACCACCTCTTCTTTCCTCCCACCATCCCACTCTTCCTCATTCTCTTCTCTTGTGAGACCACAGAGTCTATATCCTCCAACATGGGGGAATGGGGGGGAGCAAGGAAGGAGAAGGGGAGATAGAGAGGGCAAGGAACTGAGGAAGAAACGGGGAGGGGGAAATGGAAGGTGACCGGGATCATTTTCCATTAGTTCAGGAACTTGAAGAGATTCTGAGGATAGCTCATAAAATGCCAAAGCTGACAGGAGGAAGCGGGAGGAGCACAAGCCACTTGAACAGAGGAAGAACTCGTCAGTACAAGACCTTCTTCTTCACATAGCACCACCATGGTGATCATTGCTCACTGTCTCAAGGAAATACAACCTTTATTATTACGAAGATGTGCTCATCTCTTCTCTTTTGGGTGACTCTAACAAACTGTGTCAGTGTCACTACCTGGTGTTTCAGGGTAGCACCAAGGTTCAACTACAATCCTCAGCCCATCAAGGGGCTCCCTTGGACAGCTGGCTAGGTGGGTGTCGTGGTTTAACCCCACGCAGCCGCTCGCTCACCCCCCCCCCCCCTCCGGTGGGATGGGGGAGAGAATCGGGAGGGCACAAGTAGGAAAACCCCCGGGTTGAGATAAAACAGTTTAATAATTGAAATAAAACAAAATAGAACAGTAATAGTAACAGTGAGGACAACAACAACAACAAAATATACAAAGCAGGCGACACACAACGCAACTGCTCACCGACCACCGACCGCGTGTCACGAACCGGGGGGCGAGCCCCCCCACACACCCGGTTTTTATCCTGAGCATGATGTCACATGGTATAGAATACCCCATTGGCCAGCTGGGTCCCCCACCCCGGCTGTGCTCCCCCCGCCCCGTGCGACCATCACCCAGCAACAGCCAAAGCATCAATGGGCCATCAACGCTCCTTTCATACCAAACCCAAAACACAGCACACCCCCCAGGCTACTGGGGAGAAAGTTAACTCTGTCCCAGCCGGAACCAGGACAGTGGGACTGCCGAAGTCTTTTTTGCCTCATCACTGTAAGAAACATTCAAATGTTATAAGAATCTGATTTTCCCACCTTATTCTGGTCTCCCCTTCAGGGTCTATTCAGTTGTCACTTTTAGTCTCCAAAGACTCCCTGCACACACCAACTTCACTCCATCCTCCCAAGCTTTGAAAGATCATCAATTCTAGGAGAATCTTTGACATAATCCATGGTACATGCCATTATACTGTAATTTATATTCCACATCAT